GTAACTACGTTTAAGTCCATAAGTACTTCCTACATACCGACTATATATGCTACCTACTACACATCGAAAAGAAGAGAGTTAGAAGTTAAGAAAAAAATAATACAGATATCAATAATCCATTCATTAATGGAATGTTGTCTACTAAGCCAGATCCATTGTGTTTGATGGTTTATTGCCGGCTTAAGCTTCGTGTTCTTGAAAATTTCTTTTCATTTAATCATACCTGCACATATGATGCGTTTGCTAAAATTTATCATTTTATTTTTGAGTTGCGCGTTAAGCCGTTCATTAGAATTTGCTCTTGTTTCTTTTCTTCACTAACCCCCTAATTCAACTTAAAGAGTTATGAATACAATTACTCAGCAAATGTCACGAAAATCTGAATGAAACTTTAAAAATTTATTATATTATTTCTGTTATTTGTTATTGTAGTGGTGCAAATTATATTCCTAGGTATCGGTGTTATAGTTAAAGATTATTTACAAATATTTCAATATTTCAAGGATAAAATGTTCTAAATCCGTTTTTTACAAAAACAAAATTTTACAAATATTGATATACTATCTAAACACAGAGATATAAAGATTTTTAAATTTTATTGATTTATCATCAATTAAAAAGATTACTAGAACAGATTAAACTTGAATCGCCTAAAACAAACTAGTCTCAAGACTTATTTTGTATTTTACTAAAATTTACTTAAAAATTATTACTTCAACCTACATAAGATATATATTTATTTAATATTTTTGCACAATTCTTTCTATATGTTGTACCTTCTCATGTTTTTAGAGACCAGGTCCAACGAATCCACAACAACATTTCTTAAGATTCACACTTGTTGTTTGGTACTTCCCACCTACTAAAAATATTTCGAATCATATAATATATTGTAATAAGCACTTTTATGATATCGAAATATGTATATCAATGGACGACAACACCAAGTCAAAACTGAAACACGGACTTTGCTTCGTTTCAACACATAAAGTCTCTGACACAAAAAATTTTCTATAACATATATTGTAGTGCAGTATAATACAGAATAGTGTAGTATTGTAAATTATTATTTTATTATTTAATTGATCTATTTACTGACTATGTATTCATAATATTAATCCATTTATTTGTATTGGAAATTTTGTAATTTGTAACAAGAATTCCACGTAAAAAAACATAAAATTGATATTTTTAAAATATTTATTATTTACTTAATAAATATTTTCAAATTAATTGTATTATTTAGTTTTTAGGTCTGAAGTAAAAATATATTCGATATGGTATATGCCGCTAATGAAATATCTGGTTGTATCTCGTTATCATTTTCATTAGGAAACTTTTTTTGTACAATAGATCTTCGATCTTTAGAGACCTTTCTTCCCAATTACCTTATGCAAATAAAATATTAATCATTTTTTAAATAAAAAACAGAAAAAATTTGCTTAAGCATTCACATCTATTAATATATTATGAAATTTATATACATTGAACAATTACAATTACCAAAATATCTTATATCATATTATTACTATGTACAAATTAACAGTTTCTTTATGAAATAAATAAATTAAAAAATTATTTCCTTGAATTATATTACATTGGAAGTCCCCCATACATAGTACATTGTTGGAGATTGCACCCGCACTCAGCAGAAAGTGTTTGTTGAACTTGAAATTGATGTTGTACTGCAATTCGGTCTTCAGTTGGGAGCTGGGGGTGAAAGTTGTTTAAAGCTTGTTGTTTTTGTAGTACAGCTTCTTGTACAAAAGGAACTTCTTCTGGAGTCGGAAAATACACAGCATTTGAAGAGTAATGAGAGTTATACGGTATTGTGTTGCTTTGGTGATAAGGATGTCCGTACGAGTAACCACCACCGCAATGTAAAATTGCTCTTGAATCATTTAACGTTGAATTATTATTCCGACGTAAGCGACCAGTGGTTTCCCCAATAGTTACGTCTTCCGCTGATGGATCTATTGCCCAATAGTGACCGCGTCCTGGATCATCTAACGCCCGAGGTATTCGCACAAAATATTTATTCAAGCTTAGATTGTGCCGAATGCAATTCTGCCACTTGTTTCTGTTATTTTGATAGTACGGAAAGTTATTAGCTATCCACTCACATATCCCGCCCAATGTTAAACGTTTATCAGGACTGCTACCTATGGCCATAACAATCAGTGAACTATATGTATACGCTGGTTTCTCATTAGTGAATGTAGATTCATCCGATAATGTTTCATCTGAAGAAGTAATATCACATGAACTTATGGCCCATTCTTCCGTCGAAGTATTACTCTCTATCTCCAAAGAGGACTTTGTGTCCGATAATATAGAACGAATTGAAAAGTTAGATTCGAATACTTCAGCCATTATTTAATTTCTATTCAAATTATTGTTAATGAAAATGTAAATAGTCGTATCAGATTTCGAGCTCTTTACTTATCTCACGTTGAGTTGTGATTGATAAAGTCTGGGTGTTGTGTCCCTCTTTTATACTTTTAAAAAGTCATGCGAGAGGAATATATAAATATTTTCTATTAAGGTTGTAAGTACGAAATACCAAATACTCTATATCAATGCTATATATATATTACAAGAACAAGAACTAGTTAATACTATTTAATACATGGGCGTAACTACGTTTAAGTCCATAAGTACTTCCTACATACCGACTATATGTGCTACCTACTACACATCGAAAAGAAGAGAGTTAGAAGTTAAGAAAAAAGTAATACAGATATCAATAATCATCCATTCATTAATGGAATGTTGTCTACTAAGCCAGATCCATTGTTTTTGATGGTTTATTGCCGGCTTAAGTTTCATGTTCTTGAAAAATTTCTTTTCGTTTAATCATACCTGCACATATGATGCGTTTGCTAAAATTTATCATTTTATTTTTGAGTTGCGCGTTAAGCCGTTCATTAGAATTTGCTCTTGTTTCTTTTCTTCACTAACCCCCTAATTCAACTTAAAGAGTTATGAATACAATTACTCAGCAAATGTCACGAAAATCTGAATGAAACTTTAAAAATTTATTATATTATTTCTGTTATTTGTTATTGTAGTGGTGCAAATTATATTCCTAAGTATCGGTGTTATAGTTAAAGATTATTTACAAATATTTCAATATTTCAAGGATAAAATGTTCTAAATCCGTTTTTACAAAAACAAAATTTTACAAATATTGATGTACTATCTAAACACAGAGATATAAAGATTTTTAAATTTTATTGATTTATCATCAATTAAAAAGATTACTAGAACAGATTAAACTTAAATCGCCTAAAACAAACTAGTCTCAAGACTTATTTTGTATCTTACTAATATTTACTTAAAAATTATTACTTCAACCTAAGATATATATAATATTTTTGCACAATTCTTTCTATATGTTGTACCTTCTCATGTTTTTAGAGACCAGGTCCAACGAATCCACAACGACATTTCTTAAGATTCACTCTTGTTGTTTGGTTCTTCCCACCTACTAAAAATATTTCGAATCATATAATATATTGTAATAAGCACTTTTATGATATCGAAATATGTATATCAATGGACGACAATACCAAGTCAAAACTGAAACACGGACTTTGCTTCGTTTCAACATATAAAGTCTCTGACACAAAAAATTTTCTATAACATATATTGTAGTGCAGTATAATACAGAATAGTGTAGTATACCAAATTATTATTTTGTTATTTAATTGATCTATTTACTAACTATCTATTCATAATATTAATCCATTTATTTGAATTGGAAATTTTGTAATTTGTAACAAGAATTCCACGTAAAAAAAACATAAAATTGATATTTTTAAAATATTTATTATTTACTTAATAAATATTTTCAAATTAATTGTATTATTTATTTTTTAGGTCTGAAGTAAAAATTTATTCGATATGGTATATGCCGCTAATGAAATATCTGGTTGTATCTCGTTATCATTTTCATTAGGAAACTTTTTTTGTACAATAGATCTTCGATCTTTAGAGACCTTCCTTCCCAATTACCTTATGCAAATAAAATATTAATCATTTTTTAAATAAAAAACAGAAAAAATTTGCTTAAGCATTCACATCTATTAATATATTATGAAATTTATATACATTAAACAATTACAATTACCAAAATATCTTATATCATATTATTACTATGTACAAATTAACAGTTTCTTTATGAAATAAATAAATTAAAAAATTATTTCCTTGAATTATATTACATTGGAAGTCCCCCATACATAGTACATTGTTGCAGATTGCACCCACACTCAGCAGAAAGTGTTTATTGAACTTGAAATTGATGTTGGTTTTGTAGTACAGCTTCTTGTACAAAACGAACTTCATCTGGAGTCGGAAAATACACAGCGTTTGGAGAGTAATGAGAGTAATGAGAGTTAAACGGTATTGTGTTGCTTTGGTGATAAGGATGTCCGTACGAGTAACCACCACCGCAATGTAAAATTGCTCTTGAATCATTTAACGTTGAATTATTATTCCGACGTAAGCGGCCAGTGGTTTCCCCAATTGTTACGTCTTCCGCTGATGGATCTATTGCCCAATAGTGACCGCGTCCTGGATCATCTAACGCCCGAGGTATTCGCACAAAATATTTATTCAAGCTTAGATTGTGCCGAATGCAATTCTGCCACTTGTTTCTGTTATTTTGATAGTAAGGAAAGTTATTAGCTATCCACTCACATATCCCGCCCAATGTTAAACGTTTATCAGGACTGCTACGTATGGCCATAACAATCAGTGAACTGTATGTATACGCTGGTTTCTCATTAGTGAATGTAGATTCATCCGATAATGTTTCATCTGAAGAAGTAATATCACATGAACTTATGGCCCATTCTTCCGTCGAAGTATTACTCTCTATCTCCAAAGAGGA